CCGAGGGGAGGGGGCGAAGCCGGAGCGGAGGTGCCTTGGTGCCACTCTGGAGATGCCAGTGCCGATCGTGGGGAAGTGAGGCGCGGGGTGAGAGTGGGCGTGCCTCTTCGGGGGTCCACAGAGGGTGCTGCTTAAATGCGGGCGCTGGGCTGTTTTCCAGAGGGGAGGGTACCGGGAGCCGGCAGGAATTCACCTCTAAGGTGTTCCAAGTGTGCACTTGAGTATGCAAGACGCGGAGAGTGGGGTCGTGTACCTCGGAGCGGAGGAGCAGCTACCAGGTGGGGGGAAGGGGTCCCCGTGGAGTTGGGACCCCGAGTTTTCTCTTGCAAGATTCCCGGCTTGAGGTTTTCACCCAGACGACCTTCTGGAATCCTATTCATTGGGGCCAGGTGTTCCCGGACCCTGTCCCCAGAGGCCTTCTCCGCCCAGAACCCTACACTCCCCCCCCCACGCCCATCCCCCACCCCCACCCAATCCCTAGCCGTGGTCCGTAGCTCCCCAGTCCTAGCACACCCTTAGCGGGGCCTCACCAAGCCTCTTTCCCGCCTGTCCTTTGCGCCGTCTGTGGTTGTTGGTAGCCATGGGTCTGCCTGTCCCGCTAGACGACCTCGATTTTTCACACCGCTGTTGCACCCCCTCCCTAGGCTATCTTCAGCCTTGGGCGTGGGAGTCAGACAATTTGTGTCTGTGGCATTTGGTAATTAACCTGTGGCCCCGGGGCCAGGGCTGGGTGGGGTCCCTGGTGGTGACTCCAGGAATCGCAGTCATATCCAAATCCCTGCCTCTGGCCTCACCAGCTCCCATTCACCCATTTCCAAGGCCGGAGAGGAAACAGTGAGAGCAGGCTGGCTCTGGCTAACCCTCGGCCCAGCCCGGCTTCGGGAGGGAGGCCATGCCCTCCCTGGAAGACTGGAAAGGAAGGCAGTTTCCTGGTACGAAAGGAGTCACTCTGTAAGAGAGAGACACAGAACCAAGAACTGCTGTAAATCACCTTCAAATGAATAACAGGACTACCTTCCTACTGTAGCAGGGTTAAGTTGTCTTTCTGGCTCTGAAGACTAACTTCTTAAGCCTCGTGCAGTCCTAGGCTCCTTACTCAGCTCTGCAGAGCCAGCCTCAGAGCCCTCTGGTTCAAGGGCTAGTCTCGGTTCCTACCCTCTAGGGAAGCTAGCATACCCCTCTCTCCTCAGGAGGATGCGATTAGCCCCTGGCTCTCTGATGGGCTAGCCTTTTACCTATCCCTAGGTGAGCCTCCTTCTCCTTACGGAGCGGAGCTTGCCTCTTTCCCCACTCCTTATATTTGAACCATCGCCTCAGCTGCCCATGCCCCTCTCCTGCCCAGGTTTCTTCTCAGTTGTCCCTGGCCTTGGTTCTGGCTGACCTGACCAGCTGTGCTTCGTCTCTTCTTCCCAAGGCTCCAGGGACACTCATTTTTGAACAGCCCCTCCCATGTCTCCCTGAGCCCCTCATGGCCCCTCCTCAATAAGACGTCCTGGGAGTAAGGAGAAATACTTGGACTGATGAAACCCTGTTTTTCTTTCACTTTCCACAGTCTTTCCTGGGCTCCTGAGCAAATTCATTGACCCTCACCCCACCCCCACCCCCACCCTTTCCCAAAGAACCAGCCCTTTCTCCAGAAGCGAAGGGTTCTCTTCAACTACATTGGCCATCACTGAGAGCGCTGATGTGGCCATGGCCTTTCAGCTTTATCTCCTTTTGCCTGGGGCTCTGGGCTGGAGGGCCGATGGTTTTGTCGTTGACTGGCGGCACTATTAGAATGTCTGATGTGGGCAGTGTGACATACACGTATGCATGTGACCTTCCCTGCAGATTAGAATCACCCATGAACTTTTAAGGTATTCTGATAGCCACGCCTCCTCCCCTAAGCCTAATCAAAAGGTTTCCAACAGGCACCTGAGAATTATTATTATTTTGGAGCTCCCCGGGACATTTCTCAAGTGCAGCCAGGACTGAGAATTGCTTCTCTGGAGGCAATGGTCACAACATGACCGGCAGCCACACCCCAAGGGTCACCCAGCTGGTTAAGTGCTTAATAATGGGACCTGTTATATGTTAAAAATGGGACACATTCCATTATGTGAATAGCTGCATCATGACTGATTTCAAGTTACCAACTAAAAGACACTGAACATAGAGTACACACACACACACACACACACACACACACACACACACACACCCCTGTAGAGACAGCCTAAGCTGGGCCTGGCAAACTGCTGACGCTGCCCTTGGCGATCCAACCCAAAGCCTTTCCTGATGAGCATGTGGTTGTTATGTGTGCTGTCAACATGGTTCTGCCTCAGAGCAGCCCTACCCACAAGAGAACACAACACTGCCTGATCCTACGCTAGCTTCACGGAGCCTTTCCTGTGTTGTGGCCGCTGTGGCAAGTCACTTTGTCCATCCATGTCATTGACGATCTTCCTATTGTCGACTCTGCTGTACCAAGAATGTCCTCTCCGTGGACTGGTCCATCCTCTATTCCAAGAAGCATTTCAACCATTCGCTTAACAAGTATTAGAAATGAGCTTTCACTTGGTGACATTGTTAATTTTCCAGAAATGTCCAAAACTCACTGCGATTGAGCTGATTCCCACTCAGAGTGGCCCTACAGAACCAAGTAGAACTGCTTATCTGGTCTTCCAGGTTTTGAATCTTGACAGAAACGAATAGCCTCATCTTTCTCCTGCAGAGCAGCTGGTGGGTTTGAATCACTGACTTTGTGGTTAGTGTAGCTCAATGTGTTGGCCACTCTGCCACCAGAGCTCCCTTTCAAGAAATATAGATGGCTCTTCTGGTCTCTGGTGCTCCAGGAGAAGCAGGTTGTGGGGTTAAGAGGGAGAGGGGACCCCACAAATCATCACAGGTCTGGTAGGCGCTATTGTACAGCGATAATAAGCAGAGATTATAGTAAAGTCATAGAGAGCATGAGAGTTAGAGGAGAGATTGGAATAAATGGAGTCAGACACAATTCATGGTAGCATTGCTCACCTCAGCCCCGCTTGATGGTCCTCATGGGGGGAACCCAGCCACCAGAGCAGGAGCAGCCACCTACCCGAGAACCAGGGAGCCTCTCCTTTATTGCTAACCACGCATTATATCAGTTTAGGGGATATGATTACAGAATCACACGTCACAGAAAGGGGCAGTACAATTCATCCTTGGGCGGGTTTGATCTCTCTGGTGTCTCATACAATGAAACAGACTATTACTATCCTGGGAGGCATGCAAGCCCCCTGATAGCAGATAACAACCTCCGTCATAGGGAGGGGTTGCAACATAGGCAATACAAGCAATAGGAGGGGGATGACCCAGGGGTGAACACGCAATAGTAAAGGGAGGGAATAGGGGAGCTTGTGTGGCAAGATGGGTGGACCCTGGACTCGATATGGTAGCCTGAGCTTAGTCATCCTAGAGTGGTCCCGGGCTTGCCTTCAGGCACTCCTTGAAGGGAGCAATATCAGAAGGGAGTGGGCCCTATTTGTTGTGGGATAAACAGTGGTGTCTGCTTGGTCTAGACAGCTGATAACTCTCAGGGAGAATGACTCCCAAGCCACACTTGGTGACCTCCAAGTGTATAGTCATTCTCAAGCAGCTAAGTCTGGTATATATATGGGGGAGACAGCTTGAGAGAAATCCTTCTGTTTCCCACAGCAGACGTCGGTGCAGACATGGTCAAGTCCATGAACCGCACCACACACAACCAATCCCGAATGTGGTACAGAAACGGCATCATGAAACCTCAGTCACAACGATATGAATCTCTCAAGGGGGTGGGCCCCAAGTGTCTGAGGAACATGCACTTTGCTAGGAAGCACAAGAGGGTCTGAATAAAATGTAGGCCAAGGCCATGGGTTCTTGCACCAAGAATATCAAGGAGCTCAGGGATAAGGCCCCAATGTGTATCAACAAGCCCATTCGACTGGTCTACGTTGCCCTTCCCAAGCTTGGCAAACAGGCTCAAGCTGCCGACCACGGTCCATAGCCAAGACTCAAAGGAAGGCAAGCACTGCAGCCAAGGCCTCAACTCAAGCTCAAGCTCCCAAAGATGCCCAGGCTCAAGGTCCAGCTCCCAAAGGTGCTCAGGCTTCCACAAAGTAGAGTACTCATCGGAGGACAAGTGAGCCCTGGGCTGCCATCTGCATGAGCTAGTGTATTCCTGTGCTATTTGTACAAATAAACCTAAGGCAGGCAAATAAGTAAAAGAAAGAAATAGCGACTGGCTGAAGTAGTCAGCTTTACCACCCATCCCTCGTTCAGAGTAAAGGAATCCAGCAAGGCCTGAGCCTGGCCTCTTGTTATTGTTGGGTGCTGTTCCGACTCATAGCAACCGGGTGTTTAACAGAATGAAACACTGCCCAGTCCTGCACCACCCTCATGGTAGTTCTTATCTTTGTGTCCCTTGATACGGCCACTGTAACAATCCATCTCCTAGTGGGCCTTCCTCTTTTTCCGCTGCCCCTTTACTTTACCAAGCATGGTGTCCTTCTCCAGGGATGGTCTCTCCTGACAACATGTCCAAAGTATGTAAGACTTTGCCTCCAAGGAGCACGCTGGCTATACTTCCAACAGATTTATTTTCCTTTTAGTAGTCCGTGGTTCCCGCTAGCCCCACAATTCAAACGCATGATCCTTCTTCAGGGTTCTT